GTGGGGTGAACCGCCGTGCTGTCATCATGCTCGAGGGAAAGCTGCGGATCGGCAGCACCAAGTTCCAGCGCCCGGAGACACGATGCGCGAAAGCTGCGGCCTGATTACTTCCTCTGCTCCTCCACACCACGCTCGCACGCCCTTTCACCCCCAGGCGCCCAATGCAGACCGCAGCGTGCTGTCCCACTCTCCCCCGCCGCATGCCTGGGCCTTATCCGTAGTTCCCTCGTCCACCTGAGCATCCGCCCACGCCGGCCTGCGTGCACGCGCACTCACACTTTATCTGTCATATTCCTCAGACCTGCCTACATACTTCCCATGCTTGCCCACACCACGAGCATCATGTCAACCAAAGACATCCGGCAGCGCAAGCCGCCCGCATCGGTACCCGTCATCGAGAAGCTGAAGGCGCAGCGCACCAAAACACCCTCCGAGCCAAAACTCCCGGATCCAACCCAACATCCAGCCGGCAAGGTCAAACATGGGCCTGTTGTGCAATTTCTGCGCATGTGTCTTTTTGCAGCGTACTTCAACGGCAGCATCATAGCGTTAGTATGCACTCACGGCTAATACTACCCATAGGATACTAACGTCATGTTTCAGCATCGCCATTACCCAATACATCGGCCTGCCGCTATACTTCTACAGCAAGGACCTCTTCTACGCGTGGATGGCCATGACCAAGCAGCACTTTAGCATGACCGTCACCACCATGACGTACTGGTGGGCGCCCGTCACGATGCGCGTCAGTGGAGACGAGAGCATAAGAGGACAGATGAGGAAGAAGGAGGATGGGCTGCTCGAATGCGACTTTCCAGAAAGGCTGGTATTCGTCTCGAACCACCAGGTACGGTTATCCAGGCAACGTCTTGCAGAACAGTGAGCTAACACCTGTCAGATCTACACTGACTGGGTCTACCTCTGGTGGATGGCATACAGCGCGTCCATGCACGGCCACCTCTACATCATCCTGAAAGAGTCGCTCAAATACATTCCAATCCTGGGCTGGGGCATGAGGCTCTTCGGTTTCATCTTCTTATCCCGCAAGTGGTCCACGGACAAGGAGCGCTTCCAACATAGGCTGAGGAAGCTGAGCAGAAGTCACGATGGTCCACTATCTGGCTCCAAGGGTCTCGACCCCATGTGGCTTCTCATCTTCCCCGAAGGCACAAACCTTAGCAAGAACGGTCGCGCTTCGAGCAAGAAATGGGCAGAAAAGAACCAGATTGATGATCTAAGACATGCACTGTTGCCGCGAAGCACAGGGCTTTCCTTCTGTCTGCAAGAGCTGCAAGGCTCCGTAGACTACCTCTACGATTGCACAATGGCATACGAGGGCGTTCCGTAAGTCTGGTATACCAGCCAGATTCTTCAAATACTAACACAGAACAGCGCCGGCCAATATGGCCAAGACCTCTTCACCCTCTACAGTACCTACTTTCAGGGACGCCCCCCGAAGTCCGTAAACTTGTACTGGCGCCGCTTCGCTATCGCCGATCTCCCCCTTCACGACGACAAGCTCTTCAGCGACTGGCTCCTTGCCCGATGGCGCGAAAAGGACGACCTGCTCCAATATTTCCTCGAAAACCAGCGTTTCCCAGCCGACGAGGGCGAGACACCCAATGTCAACGGTGGGCCACCGCTCAAGGGCGCTGGCTGGATCGAGACAGACGTCCGGCCAAAGGTGTGGTACGAGTGGCTACAAATTCTCGTCCCGAGCGCCGCGTTTGCGCTTGTGGTGAACGTATTCCTGAAGATTGCGAATCTCGTAACGAAAGTGACGGGAGCAAAGTTATGAAATCAGGAAACTTCTTAATTGGCGGCAAACGTGTTGTTTCGCAGTGTCTGGCGCGTGGTCGTTTGTGTTGTAGATCGGCTTTGATACCCTATATTCATCTCTTCTCTGTCCGTCAAATGAGGGTATACCTCGTGGTACTCACATAATCCTTCTTCGGTCCCTTGACATCGTATCGCACTTCCCACCACATATCCTCCGCACACCCATTGACAATGCCTAGTCCGAATGTCCAACTAGCAGTATACAAATCCTCGGCACAAAGATGCGTTTCCTTGTTCTTGGCTTTCACCTCCTTCCCACTCGTCTCTAAATCACCCATGTCTACGAATGAGCCCCCGACCCCCTCCCCGTTCTTTCCCACGCCATCCTCGACATCCGCTCGCGGCATCTTCTCATCGTCGAAGAAACGGACGGCGATGTAGTCTCCTCCTGCTTTCTCGTCTGTGCTTTCTGATGTCGACGTTTTGAGTTGGTACACGTATTTCCTGCGTGCGTTGAACTTGAGTCCCGTGTCTGTGGAGAACTCGCCTTCTTCGGCGTAGAGCAGAGTTGGTGGGAAGGAGGCTGGTAGGTTGCAGGACGTGAACGCCGCTGTTCCTGTTACTGTGCCCGAGGGATGAGTCGGTAGGGCGGAGCGGAGTTGACGGGTGAAGGTCCATGATTTGTCTGATGAGGTACGTAGATTGTCAAAAATGGATTTGGGGGTTGACGGAGGGCTTTGCTCTGGGGTTTGGGGTGTAGAGGGCTCGTCTGATCGTGGTTCCTGTGGCAGGGGTCTTGTTTCTCGGATTGGTATCGAGGTGGTGATACCTGTGCCCGTGCTGGTGCTCTTCGTTTGCAGGAAAGCTTTTGGGTCTTGGCTTTCGAGCAGAACAGCGTTGACACTTTGAAGCGTGCTTCGACTGGGGTTTAGTGCTGGGTCGCTTGTTGTTATCCAACTGAGTCTTTGCTTGATGAAGGCTTTCCCAATGGCACTTGTCTCCTTTGGTGCACTGGTATTCATCGCTCCCTCTTCGTTTGTGTAGAGACATAGTACTACTAAGGCGGTACCGACGGATAGATCTTTGCCTGTTGGACAGCATACGAGGATCTTTCCGGCTATTGATTCTGAAAGGGATGAGAAGAAATCTAAAATTCGAGGCAGTTGAGTGCGAAGATCGCGCGACCCAAGTTTGCCGGTTTGGCATTTGAGGTGCAAGTAGTGTTTGACTCCGGCCTCCTTTAGTGTCGAAGGGGCAAAGGGCTCTGGTGTACAGCCGATCACAACGTCGAATCCGTCGAGCTTCATCTGGTCGCTAGGAGAGATGTACAGTCTGGACGTTGGTTTGATCAAACTTGCAACTGCACTACTACCTCCGTCTTCGTTGAGCAATCTTTCGATCAGAGCTGGCGCGTTTTCCTCGCTCGTCTTCATCAGCACATCCTTGTTATTCCAGAAGACTGTCGGCGTGAGTCCATGAGACCATGCTTCGTGGTCATCGGCAGCACCCTGGATATACCCGCTTTCGGATGCTTCAGCACCGCGTACCCGTCGCGATGCTGTGCAGAGCACGACAGGGTGGAAGTCGGGAAAAGAAGGCGCGGCATCCGGAAGAGATGATTGTTGTGTTACCCATATTGGCCGCAGCGGCTTCTTCAGCCTACTGCGAAGGTCCACAATGTTAGGTTTGCAGATATCCTTGTCTCGATATCAGCTAATAAACTCAGGAATATCTAGACAATATACGTACCAGAAACTGTTGCACAAATCCGTCTATCCTCTTCTCCATTTGCGCATGCTCGCTTTCTCCCACGGCTTGTGGCGGCGTGAATAATCGCATCTCGTCTTTCTCTATTATGCCGAATACAGCTCTGTTGATCACACAGCACCATGTCGGGATGGTTTTGCTCAGCGCGTCCGGCATACTCTTGCCCTCCTCGTGCTATCCACAACCACGGCACCGCCAAACTTCTCCACCACATCCAGCAGTTGCAGATTTAGTCTTCTCAAACTGAAACTCCATTCGCCCATGTGACCGTCCGTGCTCTTGAAGTAGACAGATCCAGACTTTTGGGTTGGTGGAATGTACCAGCTTCCACAACGTTCATTGGCTATGAGAGGTAGATCGTAGGCAGATGCGACTGAACTGACGAAAATGCTGTCGGAGATGATTGAATGAAGGCGGTTGTGCGTTGATAATGTTGAGCGGCGTAGAGAAGAGAGGGTGCTGGATAAATTCGGTGTGTTGGAAAGGTGCGGAAACAGAATATCGCTTTCTTTTAGAGCTTGAGACATCGTTGTCGTGGGCTCTTCCAGTCTGCCAGGCGCAAAGGTGATATTGTCTGCGCGGGTGGGAATAGAATGACCATTCACGTTTGCATACCCCGCACCATCGCGTACGAAAAAAGGAAAAAGATATCGTGGAAGGGTCTCAAATCAACAGGATAAGCTATAGGTAGATCGCAAGGATATCGGGGCTTCTGGATATGAAGGGCCCTTCTATATCGCGTTCACAAGATCGGGTTAAAAGATGGATGTTCGTGAGGCAATGACCACAAGAACGCTAGTCCAAGAAAGGGTTAGGGATAAGGCGGGGATTAAGGACAAAATTTGAATGCGGTAGGCGTAGCATGTGGTTCGACAGAGTAAATGAGAAGCGGTAAGATCGTAGTAGAATTTGACATACATTCGTCTATGGTCTTGAATGATTGCTATCATGATACATCCGCCGTCTAGTCTTGTTAACAAGCGAAACAGGCGCGATGTAACTCTCCGCGCGCTGACGAAATAATTGACCGTGGCAATGATCGCCATAGCGCCAAACATAAGCGACGCCCAGTTCATGTCCGTAGCTGAAGGGTTGGGCACTATGGGGAAGAACGAGAAGATGAAAGAGACGACCAGAAAGGCAAGAGCGAGGTCGTTGACGATGCCTCAAACTTGCCTAGGCTCCAGCGTCGAGGGAGCAGTGGCTCTCCTCGCCAACGCTTCAAGCGCACGCATCCAATCGATATGATGTAGGAGAAGATGAGAGCTGCGTTCGAGATGGAGACGATGGCGTTCAACGTAACGTCCGATCCGAAGTTGATGCATGCGAGCACGAGCGAGGATCCGAGACAGACAAGTAGCGCGTTGACGGGAATGTCCCAACCGGCTGGCACTCGCTCGATCCATGCAGAGAACGGAAGTCCCCTGTCGCGTGCAAATGCCCAGATCTGGCGGGAAGACGCAGCAGTAACGGATACGGCTGCAAAGAAGACGAGGATGACGAGAAGAGCACCCATGACCTCCGTGCCGGCGATAGAGCCTGTCGCATTGTAAACGGCCTGAAGTACAGGCTGCCCGGTCGGCGATTCGAGAACCGAATCGAGAGCACCGCCGCACATTACGAAGGTAATCATCTTAAAACGAGCGTACGTAGTCAGTATTTGCCCTTCATCCAGAATAGTTCAGGCGTGCTTACCATGATGCATCCGAAGATGCCGTTGAAGAAAACAGCCCACATCATAGCTTTCGGAAGCACCACGGAGGCGTCTTTTAACTCCTCAGACATATGTGCGCCCGCGTCTGGACCAATAAAACACCACAATGGGGTTGAGAGGCCAACCAGAGCAGACACGCGCCCTCGAGCTCCATTCTCCACCATTTGTCCAAGTGGTGAACACTTCTTCCGCCGGAAGACGCTCTGCCATAGTCCAGAATAGAATCAGAAACGCGAAGAAGGCAAAGACGTGCAAGACTAGCACAATACCTTCAGCGAGGGGAAGATGCTGCGCCAAAAAGATGTTGAAACCGATCATGAGGAATAGCCAGAGCATCATCAACAGTGTGACATGCCATAGTTCTCCAATCTGGGCGTCAGGGTACGCGAGGAGGACCATTCCGATGACGAGACTCGAAAGCATCTGCGCACAAGCAGGGATCCCGCTGACCCAGCCGACAGCCGCAGCCCATCCTAAGCATACTGTCAGTACAGGAGATTGGAATCTCAGGCCGTCCACTACATACCCACGATGTAACTAAGCGACTTTTGGAATGATGGCGGCGCGAACTCGCTGACCCAATGGTATTGTCCACCGGCAGTTGGGGCCATGGAGGCCATCTCGGCAAGCGAAGCAATCATAGCCAGGACGAAGACCCATGTGATAATCATCATCCAGATGACTCCTGCTGTGCCCCCATTGAACAGCCCGAAGTAAGCTGAGCTTTTACTTAGACTTAGCAGGGTATCGATCATCACCGGAACAAGGACTTACATCAGAGCACTTTCCCATGTTGACTGGAGGACAACCACGAATCCGATGATGGAGATCAGTCGGAAATTTCTCTTTTGAACAATTAGTAGAGTTTCTGCATGTAGGTCTCAGTAAGGGCTTACCCGAAGCTCTTGTTTCTTCCCCATCCGCTGCATGTCCTCGGCGTCGTGAGCTGTGCCTCCCAGCGCACTGGCATGCATCCTACCCACTTCGCCGGAATCATTGCTTCCTGTGTCGTATTCCTCGGCATTTGCGATCTTCGATTCCCCAGCGATTGCCATGGTATAAAGTACGCAAGCGTGACTACAGAACAACGACCATCAACGGAGGTAAGGGATATCCTAAAAGAAGAGAAAGGTTCAACGGAGGAATTCGTTC